AAAGTCAGTCCTTCCAAAATATTTATAATAGTCCCCAATTGTAGCTCTTATAAATGTTTATAAATAATAATAAAAATCCGCGATTTTACTTTTAGAGACCTACTATATTAATATCCACGATTGATCGTAACATACATAATATAACTAGCCATGGGAACAAACAATGAATTTATTCCCATAGTATTCTTCAGTTCTAACAATTTATCAATTAAAAGTCTTAAAAAAAGCATTTAACTTATATAATATGGCGAGCCAACACAAATATATTCTTATATTTCCAGGGTTATTGATCGGAAGAATTTCCATAAATCCATAATTGTGGATACGAATGGCTGAAATAAAATGTACGATTATAACTCTAATAGTCCAAAAAAAAAAAAAAAATAAAACAAAACAAAAATTATGTTTTTGAGTGATTACTACTATTATAGCTCCGATAATCCAAAATTCAGATCAGCTCTTCAAACAGTAATAGGTACGATAATGTATATGAAGGATTGTTTTCAAATCTACGATTATGGCTTTGAGAGTCCTTTCAAACAATTTTATTCATTTTGCGCCTGAAGAACAGTCCTTTAGAGGTACCTTTAATAACATCTATGATTATGGATGTGACGGAGGCAGGAGCGTACGCAGAATGGTGGTACTGTCTCCTCTAAAATGACGACCTTTCTGCTAAATTTTTAAATTTTTGATAAAGGGAACAGGGAACTATAGAACGGAGGATATATTAAGTTTGTCATTCTAGCTTCCGAACGAAATGAAGTAGGTTGATAAAATTATACTCAAATGTATATTATGTGTTCAGGACTTTTGGTATTGCAAATGGACCATGTGGGTCCACGTTTTGGTATAACCCCCATATAATAGACATTATTCACAGAAAATGTTTCAAAATTGTCTATTCAGGTCCATGTTTTGGCGTAGCCCATATATAATAGTACCTCCTTATATTCTGATTTGATGATTTTAGCTACATTATTCACCGATTTTTTTTTTCAAGTTCCGCATTTTAATATTGTAATGACTTATGACAAGAGTTGCCTATACAGGTCTACTTTGTCTTATAGACCCTGAAATAATGGCTACATTCGGTATTCAGTATTTTAAGGGAATTTTTAACGGATTTTAATTTTTTGGAAAATTGCCAAATTCGTTCCAAATGGTGGAGGGCATTTAAAGTTCGGCCCGGTCGAACTTACAGTTTTCTTACTTGTTTTTGTTATAATTATGCTGAATGTATTCGAAATGCATCCCTGTTTACGATAATGGATCTAAAGAACCTTTTGCGAATACCGATAATAAGGTCTTTCAAACCTATTCGCAAGAAAATGGTTATATCTCCGATAGTCCCTGACAATAAATTATTTAAAAGCAAGAGATATGGATAAAGTACACCTTCATAACATGTGCTTTACAAACAAATATTCATATTAATGTAAGGAATTTCCAGAAATATACAAACAATTGTCCTATTAAATTATATATATAAAAAAAACATAACGTTTTTCACATCTGTCTCACAGTTCACGTGTCTGCATGTCTTGAATAATACCACATTGGAAACTCAACTTCCATTTCGAACAACATTTTTTATTTTTGTTTTACGACCAGATGTGGAGCTACAGAACACAACAGGGGTTATATCAGAAGTACTGCAACCTTCAGAGTTTCTTTTTGTTTGCAAATGAACAGAAAACATTCGCATTCAGGGCTGATAGGCCCAACTAAAGGTTGAATGAATGAAATATTAAATTAAAAATTGTCTGCATTTTTTTATTTTCATTTTTTTTATTTTTGTAGTGGCTATGTTTTGCAAAGAATATTTTCATTTAGTTTAACATACATTTCCAAGACCAAGGAAACGTAAGCACTTCAAATATCTATATTCATGCAAAGTATTAATTGCTAAGGATAAATTAGTTTATTTTTATTTTAAAAGTAATATGTTAAATATGCTATAGTATCATTCAACAAAGTTAACAATTACATATCAGTGAAAAAAGTTTGTGGAATATTTTTGTGTTAAGATATCAAGGTTATTGCCATCATAGGTACATTTCTTATAACTAAATTGTCAGCGAAAAAATCTGAATACGTTGTTCCACAAGTTCATAATGAACACTTGTTGAGAAAACGTTAACTATTTAGTGGCATCAGTCTTATTACCACATAAAGAATTTTACTAATATAATGTCTATTGCAGACAAAACTACATTCATCCGAAGATCCTATTACAACAGACACATCCGAACCAAAGTGTATTTACTACACTTCACGTGAGCGGTCACAAACATAAAAGGAGCGAATTTGAGCATTTGAAATTGGACACATGCCGCCCTTTTTTTATCTGAATTACCTACCCAATTGGTGTCATTTAGATGCACATATCCAATGTTACATCAACAATTTGCAAGTTTCCCAAACGGGTACTATGTTAGGTATCTTTTGTGTATAAAGCGAATTATATCCGGAACCATTTGTACCTTTTTACTAAAAATTACGCATACGAAAGAAAACTCCTTCATTTTCAAATTAGTTTTTAGGTAAAAGCGTGTTATTTTTGGTATCACCCTAACATTACTTTTATTTTGATTCCAAGCAAATAGGATAAAGTTTGAAATTCCGTTTGTAATTCCTCGAAATAAGTATTTTAGACGCCACAAAATATATATGTATGATCAGCTTTAAATATTATGCCGATTTACTCCGTCCATTCCTCTGATGAAATTAAGTCAAAATATGACTCAAATGTACTCTAATTCCGTAGAATAATTTGTATTTAAAATAGACGATATAGATCCACGATTCAGTACATAACGATACTGTCCGATTTAGAGTAGTGATGATATTTCTCAACAGAATTTGCTGTAAATTTGATATTTGAAGTTAGAAACGGCTATAGCCTCCTATTTCAGAAAATTAGCTTTACAGGTTCAAGTTTTCGTATACGTATGCAGGGTGAGATTAAAAAACTGCAACCAACTTCAGACAGCTGTCATTTCTAAGTCACTCGTCCGACGGCTGTTGAAATTATTCCAGTGACAGTTCATTATATTGTTTATAAGCGTACAAAACCATTTTGGTGAGAATTGTCCCGAAAAAAAGTTATTTGTGATGGAATTAAAGCGTAATAGTGTGATTTCCTTATATTTGACTGGAAAACCATAAGTGGCTATCGTTAAAGCACTTCAGCATTTAAATGTGAATAAATCGTTTGCGTCTCGTATCATCGCTCGTAACCGTGATACTGGTAGCCTGACGTCAAGGAAGTGGACGGAAGAAAACAGCAACATCAGCAGAAATGAAAAATATCTCTGGGTAAAGCCAAAAAATGTAAAAACTTGCACCGCCAGAGAAAGAAAATACACTCAAAAGAGCTAAAGAGTTGCTTCGCTTGGCCGAAAGTGGTGAAATGCCGAATTTGGTTTTCTCCGATGAGAAAACATTCGTTGTCCAGCAGTTTGTAAATAAACAAAATGATCGTTTTTGCTCAGCTGAAAATGTGCATCTTCGGTCGGCCACCAGAACTCAAGCGCCGGCCATGGTGATGGTGTGGGCCGCCATAACAGCCGATGGCCGCTCTTCGCTCGCATTAATCGACCGTGGCATCAGAACAAATGCCGAATATTATCGCGAAAATATTGTGGAGGGTGTATTAAAGCCTTTGGCCGCAGAACGTGGACATTCCAACAGGACTCAGCACCATCGCACCTAGCACGCACCACCCAAGAATGATTACAAAATCACGTTCCTCGCTTCATATCCAGCGCACAATGGGCCCCAAAATCTCCGGATACCATCCCGTTGGACTATTGTGTCTGGAGTATTTTGGAAAGCAAGGTTGGCACTAAAAAAATACCATAGTGTCGATCACCTCAAGCAAGCGCTTCGCCGGGAATGGGCCAAAATACCGTAGAGCAACATTCGGGCAGCGTGTGACGGTTTCATTGGCCGTTTGAAGGCCATAAATAGTGCCAAAGGTGACCAATTCGAACATATCTAAACTTTTTCTGAAATTTGATTCTATTTCCGACGTTTTTTTGCTTTCATTCAATAAAAATTAAAAAAAGTAAAAATTATTTTACAGTTTTTTATCTCACCCTGTATCTCGCCGAGCTGAGTCGATCTAGCTATATATGCCCGTCCGTTTGAAATGGGCCAAAAACAGAAAAGAATTCTAAGATGTCCATTTAAGATGGCAAATTTGAAATATATAATCCAAATGGATCCATTATTGCAAGATGATTATTGTTCATTAAGACTGCCGTGAAATGTGTCAAGATACCCATCGAAATACCAATTGACTCAACTCGTCTGGCTTTTATTAGGAACAAACCCATTGAAATATCTGACTAAATTTATCATAATGTTAAATATCGAGGAGAAAGAGAGGTAGTACGTGGACCTGAAAATACCGAATATCTGGAGGTAATTTTATATGGGGCTTATGCGCAATCGTAGGCCTATTACACAATTTTTGTCAGAGTCATAGGTACAGATTAAGAACTTCTCGTATCAGATAATTCTATTGAAAAATCTAGCTGAAATCATCAAAATACCCGAAAATCGGAAGGTACCGTTATATGGGACTATATGATATCGTGAAACTAGACCATTCTCTTTCAGGTGGTAAAGTATCCGAAATTAACTTAGAATTTCAAACAATTCCATTGAAAAATGTGGCTACAATCGTTAAATTACCGAATATCGGGTGGTACCGTTATATGGGGACTATACGATATCGTGGAGAGATATAGCCCATCTTCGAACTTGACCTGCAGGTTATAAAAAATACTAGCTTTACAATTAGATGCCATTTTTAATACCTTTAGAACCAAGGTTTAATAATAATTTTAATAATAATTTTAATTCTTTCGTTGTAGATATTACAATTGTTTAAAAAAAAACTTAATTCAAAGTCGTTATATAAAACATTTAACAAAAAAAATATTATACTACAATTCCCATTTCAAATATATTTTTCTCTTCCTTTGTAGACACAACTCAGGCAGCATTGCGTGATGTAAATTTATTCATTGAACCACCTGCCGTACGACGCAGTCAATCGGTCACATTACGTTGCCTCTATTCTCTGGAGGGTGCACCGCTGTACTCTGTGAAATTTTATCGTGGCCAATTGGAATTCTTTCGTTATACGCCCGGCGAATATCCCAATACAAAGGTTTTTCATTATCCCGGAATAAAAGTCGATGTAAGTAAAACATAAACGAAGAAAATCCATAACAGGCAGAGCAATGTTTAATTTAATTTTTATTCGTGACAAGCCATATTCAATATTCGTATGTATGTAGTATTAAAAGTATTTCATTAAGAATAACACATAAATATGGGCATTTTCATGTGACAAAAATAATGAAAGAGGATGTTATAAATATTGTAATATTTTTGACACTTTAAAAATCAATTTTGTACTACTACTAATATAGTTTCTGAAATAGATTTTAAATTTAGCACAACATACAGTGTGAGATAGAGAAACTGCAACAAAGTCAAACGCCATAATTTTTTTAAGGTTATTGAATAAAAGAAAAAAAAAATGTGGGAATTAGCATTAATTTTTGGAATAAGTTTAGATTTGTTCGAATTGGTCACCTTTGGCACGAGTTATGGCCTTCAAACGCCCAATGAAACCGTTACACGTTACCCATTCTCGGCAAAGCGCTTGCTTGAGGTGATCGACACTTTGGTATTTTTTAGTACCAACCTTGCTTTCAAAAATGCTCCAGCCACAATAGTCCAACGGATTGGTATCCGGAGATTTTGGTGGACATTGTGCGCTGGAGCAAAGAATCTCATTTTATAACCATTCTTGGGTAGCGCGTACTGAGTGCGATGGTGCTGAGTCCTATTGGAATGTCCAAGATCTCTGGCCAAAGGCTTTAATACACCCTCCAGAATATTTTCGCGATAATATTCGGCATTTATTCTGATATCACGGTTGATTAATGCGAGCGAAGAGCGACCATCGGCTGTTTTGGCGGCCCACACCATCACCATGGCCTGCGCTTGAGTTCTGGTGGCCAACCGAAGACGCAAATTTTCAGCTGACCTCTTTCGCCAGCAAAAACGATCATTTTGTTGAATGTTTTCTCATCGGAGAAAACCAAATTCGGCAGTTCACCACTTTCGGCCAAACGAAGCAACTCTTTAGCTCTTTTGAGTCCATTTTCTTTCTGTTGCGGTGTAAATTCTTGCACTTTTTGGAATTTCAATGGCTTTACCCCGAGCTCATTTTTAAATATTTGTCGAATGCAATATTGCGATATGTTCAGCTTACGAGCCATTTCTCGGCCACTGCGACGCGTGTTTCGATCAAGTCGCTTCTTTACTTTCGAAACATTGCTGTTTTCTTCCTTTCTTTAACGTCGGGCTACGCTACCAGTATCACGACAACGAGCGATGGTACGAGACACAAAAGATTTATTCACATTTAAATGCTGGAGGGCTCTAACGATAGCCACTTGTGGTTTTCTAGCCAAATATCACTATCACGCTTGAATAACTTTTTTTCTGGAAAATTCTCACCAAAATGCTCATGTTCGCTTGTAAACAATATAATGAGCTGTCACTGGAACAATTTTAACAGCTGTCAGACGAGTGGCTTAGAGATGACGCAGTCTGAAGTTGGTTACAGTTTTTTAATTTCACTTTAGGGCCCAAGGAATACCAGCATTATTCAATTAGCAGATAGGAAGCCGAATATAGTTTCGAAACTTTATGTGTGTCTAACGCATTAGAATTTGATATGTCATGTATAATTTCTAAAATCGATTTCAGAATCCATCTAAAATACTACGATCTTGCTATGTTTTTGCCTATTTATGCCCGTACTGAATCGAATACATCATACATAATTTGTAGGAGTATGTTTCTGTCAGATATAGAACTAAATATAACAATTTTTCTCTAGTGTAAGAATTCTTTTTTTTATTTTTTTCGTTTAATTTAAAGTCCATGAACATACATATTTTTGTATTTATATTCACATTAAAATAAAGCAAAAACCTGTTTCAGGACAATTTTTCATTCCAATTCATTTTCCTTTTTCTCTTTCTCTTTTACTTTCTTCCACAGGAGAGTGTTTCGAATGCCACTCAAGTTGTTATACGCAACGTGAACTTTGGTTTATCTGGAAATTTTTCCTGTGAAGTTACAGCCGATGCTCCATTATTTTCAACCGCCACAGCATATGCTCAGATGCAAGTTGTCGGTAAGTCTTGTCAACCAGCCAGGCTGCCAGCCATCCAGTTTGCTAGCTAGCCAACTTTTCCCAGTGCCATACAATGGAAAAGTTTCTCCTGCGTATTTTTTTTTTTTTTTTTTTTTTTTTTTTTTCTCACCAACGTAGGTTTTATTGTTGTCCGTCCATGCGCCCTTGTGTAGCTTTAAAACTATTCGTTTGTAAACTGTGTGGGCGAACACAGACACGTGATATGTAGGACACACTCAAAGGAAGGGAGTTATTTTCCGGTTCTTAAAGGGCGAAATGGCGTATTCAACCAACTCAAACCAATTATTAAACACTAGAATCTGGCCTACGACCCCATGAATGTAATTGCTAAACGGCTGGAGACAGTGGAGGTGTTGGTGTTGGAGATGGTGCAAATGGTTGTTCTGTTCACTATTACCCTTGCCATTGGTAGGGATCGCCTTTAAGAATGTGCTGGGTAGTTGTGCTCTTCGTTGGCAGCATTTTAGGCAGAAAATAAAACTTTTAATTGAAATACTTTGTACAAACGGACGAAAAAAAAACAAAAGGAGAAAACAAAAAATAAAAAGCAATTTTTGTGACACATTTAAAAGATTTCACAGTTTTTGGCTGGTACAGCTGCTTCCATGGCTAGCTACCTTTTGCTGATTGCCTACCCACCTACTATTCTCTTTAATTGTTTTGTATTTGGATGCAACAAATATACACGAAAATTGAATTTAAATAGTTTTCAGATTGTTGCTTTCACTGGGGAATTTAGCAAAAGTGAAGTTTCCTCGAATTGGGTACGGTGATTTTACAAACTTTTACTCCATGACTGTTAGGTGTTGGCTTGAGTCCTTTGTTGCTTGTCAACTTTGATTGCTTTAAAATTGGTAAATTAAATTACTCACTAACAAGAGAGAGGCTATCGAGGTACTCAATTGATGAAAGTTAATGAAATAAACAAAAAAAAAAAAAAAGGACATGGATAATTAAATTTATTAACAAAATGTATTTGATTTCCATACAACACCTAGGTTATCACGATAAAAACCCGGAAACTTGAGTTTTCGAACTAATATTGTAAGAAAAAGTAAAGTAGTGCAAGATCTAATAAACGCTAACAGGAAACTTTCAATAATGAATATGCCACTATTTTTTAAAAGCTAATTAAAATATAGAGCCGTTCTTTGGAAAATTGTTATTTAAGGGGTGGCAAGGAAGTATTTTAATTATACGGTCTAGCCAACTACACAACAAGAAAATATAAATTTACTTTTTATATTCTATAAGTTCAATTGAGCCAAAAAGTTTGTAACACCTCAAAATATTGGTCCTGGGCTGGGGATGGTGTCCGTATGTTAATTTGTAATCACGCGTCAGGTCGCAATTATAGCACCTTTCGCACGAAATTTCTTATTAACTTAGGTACAAGGTCTGAATTGTAGATAGGAGAAGCCACATATACATTCCTATGTGCAGGACCAATATTTCGAGGTGTTTGTACCAATCAAACTTATGACACCACATAGTGTTGTAGGGTATAAATAGTTAAATTTTTGCACTGTAATACTGATTCGACATAGTTGGACAGCAACTGATGTTATTTTGAAGATATATCAAAATATTGCTCTGTGGTATTTTGGCCCATTCCCGGCGAAACTCTTAGTGCCAACATTGCTTTCCAAAATACTCCAGACACAATAGTCCAACGGATTGGTATCCGGAGATTTTGGTGGCCATTGCGCGTTGAAAATTAAGCTAGGTACCTCATATTGTGACCATTCTTGGGTTGCGCGTGTTGAGTGCGATGGTTCTGAGACCTGTTGGAATGTCCAAGGTCTGCGGCCAAAATGTTTGCGTGCCCATGGCTTCAATACACCCTCCAAAATATTTTCGCGATAATATTCGGCATTTATTCTGATGCCACGATCGAATAATACGAGCGGAGAGCGACCATCGCTTGTTATGGTGGTCCACACCATCACCATGGCCGGCGCTTTAATTCTGGGAACCAATCGAAGGTGCACATTTTTAGCTGACCTCTTGGCAAGTAAACACGATCATTTTGTTTGTTAAAAAATTTCTGGACAAGGAATGTTTTCTCATCGGAGAAAACCAAATTCGGCGGTACACCACTTTCGGCCAAGTGAAGCAACTCTTTATCTCTTTTGAGTCTATTTTCTTCCTGAAGCGTAGTATTTTCTTGCACTTTTTGGAATTTTAATGGGTTTACCCCGAGCTCATTTTTCAATATTTGCGAATAGAATATTGCGATATATTCAGCTCACGAGCCATTTTCGGCCACTGCCACGCGGGTTTTCTTCCGTCCACTTCCTTGATGTCGGCCTACGCTGTCAGCACCACGGTTACGAGCGATAGCACGAGACACAAAAGATTTATTCACATTTAAATGCTGGAGTGCTCCCACGATAGCCACTTGTGGCTATGTGGTTTTCCAGTCAAATATTAAGAAATCACACTATCAGGCTTGAATTCCATCAGGAATAATTTTTATACCCTACACCACATAGTGGTAAGGGTATTATGTCTTTGTGCATTTGTTTGTAACATGGAGAAGGAAACGAGATAGACCCATAGTTACTTTTGAGAACCTTCATTGAATCACTTTCTGAGTCGATTTATGCATGTCCGTCCGTCTGTCCGTCCGTCCGTCCGTCCGTCTGTCCATGTATTCTTGTGAACAAAATGCAGGTCGCATTTATTATCCGATTGAGATGATATTTTCCAAACAATATTTTTTTGGCCCAAGGACGAACCCTATAATTGGTGAGAATCGGATCAAATTTAGATATAGCTCCCATATATATCTTCATCCGATTTCGGGTTAAATGAGCACCAAATGTCCACTATCAGTCCAAATTACCTGAATTTTGGCACACCCAACCGAGTTCGGCCTAGAAGCAAGTATATCAAATTTTGAGAAAATCGGTTCAGATATAGCTATAGCTCCCATATATATCTTTCATCCGATTTGATCTTTAAGTCCCTCACATTCCTACTATGCACTCCACAACCGTGATATTTGGTACCAGGTATTAGATGGAGCACAGAAATAGCTGTTTTAAATTTTATCGAAATCGGTTCAGATTTGGATATAGCTCCCATATATATCTTCATCCGATTTCGGGTTAATTGACCACCAAATGGCCAATATCAGCCCAAATGGCCCGAATTTTGGCACATGTGACCGAGATTAGCCTTAAAGTAAATACAACAAATTTGGAGAAAATCGGTTCAGATTTGGATATAGCTCCCATATATATCTTCATCCGATTTCGGGTTAATTGTGCTCCAAATGGCCGATATAAGCCCAAATGGACTGAATTTTAGTACATCGGACCGAATTCAGCCTAGAAGCAAGTATATCAAATTTAGTGAAAATCGGTTCAGATATAGATATAGCAAGCATATATATGTTTCATCCGATTTAGTGTTTTAGTCCCTTACATTCGTAATGTTCACTCCACAACCGTGATATTTGGTACCAGATATAAGGTACAGCTCAGAAATAGCTGTTTGTAATTTTATCGAAATCGGTTCAGATTTGGATATAGCTCCCATATACATCTTCATCCGATTTCGGGTTAATTGTGCACCAAATGGCCGATATAAGTCCAAATGGACTGAATTTTAGTACATCGGACCAAATTCAGCCTAGAAGCAAGTATATCAAATTTAGTGAAAATCGGTTCAGATATATATATAGCAGATATATATAGCAACCATATATATGTTTCATCCGATTTCGTCTTTAAATCCTTCACATTCGTAATATGCACTTCACAGAAATGATATTTGGTACCAGTTATCAGATAAAGCCCAAAAATAATTGATTTTAATTTTATTAAAATCTGTTCCGATTTGGATATGCCTCCCATATATATCTTCATCCGATTTCGTGTTAATTGTGCATCAAATGGCCAATATCAGCCCAAATAGCATGAATTTTGGCAAATTCGACCGAAACCAGCCTATAGGCAAGTACACACATTTTAGTAAAAATCGGTTCAGATATAACTCTAGCTCCATATATGTTTCATCCGATTTGCTCTTTAAGTCCCTTACATTCGTAATATACTCTTCACAGGAATGATATTTGGTACCAGATATCAGATAAAGCCCAAAAGTAGTCGCTTTTAATTTTCTCAAAATCTGTTCAGATTTGGATATAGCACCATATGTATCTTCATTCGATTTTGAGTTAATTGTGCAACAAATGGCCAATATCAACCGAAATGGCATGAATTTTGGCATATCTGGCCAAATTCAGCCTAGAAGCACGGACACCAATTTTAGTGAAAGTCGTTTCAGATATAGCTATAGCTCCCAAATATATCTTCATCCGATTTCGGATTAAATGTGCAGCAAATGGCTAATATTGGTACATCAAATTTAGTGAAAATCGGTCGGATACAGCTATAGCTCCTATATATACCTTTCATCCGATTTGTACTTTAAGTCCCTCAAATTCGAAAAATGTACGATAAAAGAATAATATTTGGTATCAGATGCAGCCAAGAAATATCTTCTTTTTCAGTTTTACAAATATCGGTTCAGATTTGGATATACCTCCTATATATATCTTCATCCAATTTCGTGTTGATTGCGCACCAAATGTCCAATATCAGCCCAAATGTCCTGGGTTTTGGCAAATCTGACCGAATTCAGCCTAGAATCAAATACATCAAACTTGGTGAAAATCGGTTCAGATATAGCTATAGTTCGTAAAATGCACGATAGAATTAGATAGATTTTGATTTTGTACCAAATATCTCATAGAGCTCTGAAATGCTCTGTATAAACCTTTTTACGAGAGCTCTACTAAATATGCATAGTGGTGTAGGGTATCATATAGTCGGCCCCGCCCGACTTTTGAGCTTTCCTTACTGGTTTTTTTTCTGGAGAATTCTCAAAAACATGCTTTTGTACGCTTGTAAACAATATAATGAGCTGTCACTGGAATAATTTTAATAGCTGTCGGACGTTTGCCTTGA